CCGAAAGCCTAAATCCTAAACCCTAAGCCCTAAGCCCTAAACCCTAAACCCTACACCCAAAACCCTAAACCCTAGACTTCCTAAACCCTAAACCCTAAATCCTACGCCTTATGCCCTGTCAAGCCTCCCAGCAAGTTTCGTTGACAAGGCCAAAAGCCGGCAGGTCCAAAAGACCACGGATAAGGTGCCGAGAGTTTGGGGGGTGTTTTCGGGGGTTTAGGGCTTAGGGTCTAGGGCGGGTTCAGGTTTTTTTTTTTGGGTTTTAGGGTAGTTAAGGGCAAAGGGTTTTTCAATGCTTTGGGGGGTTTGGGGTTCAGGGCTGACGGTTTCTGACAGGTTTCGCGGTTCAGAGGTCCAGCAATTTTGCCTTCAAGGCTCCGGGAATCGGTTGTCTAAGGATGATGCAAATCAGGTCCCTGACCCCCAAACCGCCTAGACCCTAACCTAAACAAGCATCGGCTCTACATAGTAGGTCATTGCTAAGATTGTGACGCGTCACAAAAAAGGAGGCTTTGATGCTGGCCGAAATCCTTGCAGGCTCTTCGTCCCTGGAGTTGCGGTAGCTGCAGGGTCCCTTCATGTGGTCCCTTACCTTTGTTAAAGTGTTCTGAAGTATGGGCTCTTGGGTTCAATAGGGTATACAAGCGGGTATGTCAGGGTTCCCCAATGACGGGCACATATTCAGGGACCATGTAGGTACCAGAAGATCTTAGGGACACTAGGTTGTTGAGGGCTTAGGCCGCGTCCTCACCCGCTCCCCCCCTCCCACGACGCACAAAAAGTACGAGCAGCAACATCAAGCAGCGGCTTTTGTTCCCCAAGCCCTAACCCTCAACTCTCAACCCTCAACCCTATACCCTCAACCCTAAACCCTAAACCCTAAGCCCTAAACCCTAAACCCTAAACCCTAAACCCTAAACCCTACGCCCACAAGCCTAAGCCCTCAGCCTTCAGGCCTGCTGGGTGCAGTCCGAGCAGGAGGCCAATGAGCCTCAGCGTCATCACACTGGCGCTCGGGTTGTAGGGTTTTTAGGTTTTTAGGGTTTTTAGGGGGTAGGGGTTTAGGGCTTAATAAATGAAGGGTTTGATGGTCTAAGGGTGTTAAAGAGTTCAAGGGTTTCAGGGTTTAAGGTTTCAAGGGTTTGGGGTTGGGGGCTAGGGGCTGTTGAGTTTAATGGGGTTAAGAGGGCTCAAACGGGCGTAGTGGGGTTTACGAGGGTTCTATAGGGTTGTTCAAAAGGGCTGATAGGGCTTGGGGATTTATCTGCTTGAGAGGCGAACGAATTTCGATGCTGAACCCTAAACCCTGAGCCCTAAACCCTAAACCCTAAACCCTCAACCCTAGACCCTAAACCTCCCTAAACCCTAAACCATAGAGTAAATAAATCTAAACCGCAACCCTGAACCCTAAGCCTCAAACCCTAAGCCCTAAACCAAAGCCCCCAACTCCTTGAGCTCTCTCGGCCCTTAAATGCGTGGTTGTCAAAATTATAGTCCCGGTTTGGATCCCTATTCTAATACGGCACCTAACACTTAGGGTGTCCAACAAGGGGCCCTAGTTTTGACAGCCGCCCTTAAATGGCAAATGCCCCAAGCCGATCTCTGTTAAGGAGATCACCTGCTGCGCGATCATCTTCCACCGGGGAGAGGTGCAGAGGGACTTGGGGGTTAGGGCTTGGGGGGTTTAGGGTTTGGGGTTTAGGGTTTGGGGTTTAGGGTTTAGGGGGTTTAGGGTTTAGGGGGTTTAGGGTTTAAGGGGTTTAGGGTTTAGGGGGTTTAGGGTTTAGGGGTAGGGGCTTATAGGGTTCAGAGGGCTTATACCTCCCAAATTCACAGCCCCAAGCCCTCAGACCGTCAACCTTAGACCTTAGACCCCAAGCCCAAATCCTCTCACGCAAGGCTCGTGACCCTGCTGAGAACCCTGCTTATGTGTCGCCATGAACCTCGAAGCCCGACACCCTTATTCTGAACCCTAGACCTTTAACCCTGAACCCTAAACCCCAAACCCTAAACCCTAAACCCGAAGCCCTTTATTGCGGAAATCGGCGTGTGAATCGCTGCAACGATTTCAGGGTTAGTGTTTGTTCAGGGGATTTCGGCTTCAGGGGTTTGAGGGCTTTAGGGTTTAGGGGGTTTAGGGTTTAGGGTTTAGAGTTTAGGGTTTAGGGTTTAGAGTTCAGGGTTTGGGGTTTAGGGTTTAGGGGCTTTATAGGGTCCAGGGGTTTAGGGTTCAAAGGGGCGTAGGGTCGAGGAGCTGTAGCGGAAGTCGTAGGTTTGATGCTTTTTGTCTGGGCTTTCGGGGGTGAGGAAGCTTGGTTGATTGGAGACCTGCTTGCCTCGTTTGACACGAAGCCGCTCAACAATAAACCCTAAACCCTAAACCCTAAACTTTGAACCCCAAACCCAAAGCTCTAAACCCTAAACCCCAAACCACAAACCCAAAACCCTAACCTAAACCCTATATACACCCTAAACCCTAAGCCCTAAACCCGAACCAAACCCTACACATTCTCAACTGACAGTTCGTCCTGAACCTTTCAACCCTAAACCGAAAGAACTCCACAAACCCCAAACCCCTTCACCACCTTCCAAATCTCCAAAGCAACACAACCCCTCCAGCCTAAAAACCCCCTTTAACCTAAACCTCAAACCCTAAAGCCCATATAAACCCTAAACCCCAAACCCTAAACCCCAAACCCCCTTAAACCCGAGCCAAACCCCAACTAAACCCCCTCAACCCGCAATAGCCAGGCCTTAGACAAGGCGTCAGCGCAACAGCAGGCGCTCTGTTCTCGAAGTTTTCGCTGTGGGGTACTTCCGGGGTTCAGGGGCTTAGGGGGTTTAGGGGTCTAGGGTCTAGGGTTTAAGTTTAGGGGTTTAGGGTTGTTGAGGAATTATACGAAGAGGTAATTGTTGGCTTCTTTGGTTCAACAGCTCCCCAACATCCCACAAAACTGAAGCCTTTAAAGCACTAAGTACCCCCCCCCCCACCGGCTCAGGGTTTAGGGTTTAGGGTTTAGGGTTTAGGGTTTAGGGTTTAGGGTTTAGGGTTTAGGGTTTTCTAACAAATCTAGCGGGCTTCTCGGGCTTCTAGTCACGTTCATCTGTTCAGGGCTTGGGGCGTCTAAGGTCTTAGGTTTGCTTTTTGCCGAGAGATTCTCTGCTTGCACCGTAAACCCTAGAGCCCTAGAACCTTTTACTCTCTCTTTCTATACATATCTAGGTAGGCCTTTGGGATATTTTTATATTTTCCCTTATTGGGTTTAAGAGGATCCTCTTCAGGAATATTTTTCGGAGGGTTTTAAGGGCCATCCTAGATATATACACGTATAAACCCTCTAGTCTTGTTCTGCACGATTACGGTTTCGGGATTCGGGGCCCTAAGCCCGGAATCGTAGTCGGAACCTCAGTCGACAGCTTAGGGCTTCGACTCGGAACCATAATCGACACGACTAGGCGTACGTAAATAGTAACCTAAGGATCTGAGATCCTATGACACCCTAAACCCTAAACCCTAAGTCCTGAACGGCCTCCTAGACTCCTGCAAAAGGCCAAGAAGCAGCGCGTGGGTGCGGATGTGAAGCCGACGGCCACGGGCCAAGCCTCGAGCTATTTTTTTGGGGGGTTTTGGGGGTTTAGGGTTTAGGGTTTAGGGTTTAGGGTTTAGGGTTTTGGGTTAAGGGTTACCCTTTTCCCTTTTTTTGATTAAGGGCTCAGGGTTTAACGGGGCGGCTTCCGGGGAGGTGGAGGGTCGGCTTGCTCTTTCCTGAATCATGAAGCCCTATTTCAAAGTCGGGTTTAGGGTTTAGGGTTTAGGGTTTAGGGTTTAGGGTTTAGGGTTTAGGGTTTAGGGTTTAGGGCTCAGGGTTTAGGGGTTCTGGTGATTGTGCTGTTCATCGACTGAGTCCTGCTTGCTTGCTTACTTGCTTGCTGCAGTCCCAGCTGTAGCAGCCAAGCCCAGAGCAAAAGATAACAATGAGAGCAGCCGCTGTCATCCTGTTGCTAGCTTTCGTCTCTCGGCTGCGTGCAGAATTTTATCGCACCCTGGCGGTGCATGTGAACAAAAGGACGAACAGGTTGCACGCTATGAACTAACTCTATGGTCCAAAAGCCCCGGATATTGAAAACCCTAAACCCTAAACCCTAAACCCTAAACCCTAAACCCTAAACCCTAAACCCTAAACCCTAAACCCTAAACCCTAAACCCTAAACCCTAAACCCTAAACCCTAAACCCTCATGAATACTGTTCGTCCGGATCATAAAGGAGCTCTTTTGACTCTAAGCATGTGACCGCTCCAGGAGTAGCCGTCCATGACTTCGTTCACTTGAATTACCAGGATTGTTCATTCACCAGGTAACCCATGATGATAACACTAAGAGCTCATATAATAAGTAAATACATGTATATAGAAAAACTATCTTATAGTTCTACCGGAAAAGAAGTGTATTAACCTAGCTCGCGAGGAATTAGTATTAAGACATGAAGGTAGCACTGATTTGTGCTGTCATGCCATTCACTTCGTTCGGTCACTTATTGGATGTGACATCAGAGTGAGAAAGCGGGGGTGGTCACCATAGGCCGACAGCCGGATCAAACGATCAAACACGAAACCTTGCTACGTAACGCTAAGCCCGGACCCTAAAAAGAGTAATGCCGAACCCTAAGCCCTAAACCCTAAACCCTAAACCCTCAACCCTAAACCCTAAACCCTGCACCCTAAACCCTAAACCCTAAACCCTAAACCCTAAACCCTAAACCCTAAACCCTAAATTCCCACCCGGCCTGCTTAGGCCGTACCCACCCTTTTCTAGGGTGCCTGGACCCAGAAGATATCCGGCAGTGATGGACACCTTCACTGGATGGACAATGGGTGGAGCCATTGGAGAATGGCCGAATAGAGAGCCCCTAGGGCTCGCCTTGCCACTAGGCGGCGCCCATATTTACACAGGGATTCTCTGATCCTCCCTTTGATGGGAACACCCTAAACTCAAGGGAGCCATGTGGGCTGTGTTCCTGCCCCGGTACCTTCACCACACCTTTGCAGGGAAAGCAATGGTGGGAATTGAGGGCGACAGCCCTGAACCCTAAAAGGCAGTGGTTTGGGTGGTGGCCTGTCAAAGCTCACAGCGGGTGGGGAGAAAGAACCCAGCACCAATCAAAGTGTTGGATTACATTGACAACAGATGCCTTCGCGCGACATGCCGCCCCCCCACACCCCCTGGGTGTGTAGGGGCGCCATTTACACATGACACTTACTGCCGCTGCCCTGCGAGACGCCCTAAACCCTAAACCCTAAACCCTAAACCCCAAACCCTAAACCCCGAACCCAAAACCTTAAACCCCTGATCCGACATATTGAGCTGCCAGTGAGGTGTCCATCGATCAGGCCGCGCAGAAGGCCGCGGATCGCCGCTGGGAGGTGCCCGGCCCCTCCCCTGTTTGTTTTGGGTTTAGGGTTTAGGGTTTAGGGTTTAGGGTTTAGGGTTTAGGGTTTAGGGTTTAGGGTTTAGGGTTTAGGGTTTAGGGTTTAGGGTTTAGGGTTTAGGGTTTAGGGTTTAGGGTTTAGGGTTTAGGGTTCAGGGTTTCGGGTTTAGGGTTTAGGGTTTAGGGGTTTAGGGTTCAGGGTTTAGGGGTTAGGGCCTAAGTTTAGGGCTTGGGGTTTAGGGTTTGGGGTTTGGGGTTCAGGCTCTTCCACTGGTCTGTAACAGTGTACATCTGCCCTGTTGGTGGAGACAAGGAGGAGAGTAGTATCCACCTTCTCCGGCAGTGTCTGTGATGTGTATACAGCCGGTTTAGGGTTTAGGGTTTGTATATGTTTTTTTTCTGTTGCTATCTCAGGCCCGAGGCCCATGAGAACACACATCAACATTCGATCATTCACAGTAGGCAGTAAGTAGCAAAGGAGCAACTCCTAAACCAAAAGACTTTTCGTTCGTTCTTTGTTTTCGTGCGTAGAGGCAGTATTCCCTCACCCCTGGGGAGCCAGTTCACACGGCTCTGTCTATGGGCTCTAGGGTTCGGTGTTTGGGGTGTACGTTTTGGAGTTTTGATTTCGGCGGCTCAAGCTATCCTTGCCACAAAGCAGGTTGAAAGCCCATCAGACCTGAGTTTCACGCACTGGAAGGCGAGCCCTAAACTAGCTATTTGCTTAAGAACCACCCGAAAGAATTTTCCCGAAGGGGAAGATAGGGATTATTGTATTCATTGTTTGGGGGTCTCTTAAGCAAATATTAAGGATTGACTAGCCTTTGTAAGGGCAATATAGGGATCATTAGCTTGATTTTTTGTTTTTTGGAGGGGGGGGGGGGTGGGGGTTCTTAAGCGAGCAAAAAAGATTTACAAGCCCTGGCCACGTCTGGAAGGTTGGGTATCAAGACCTTCTTCAGCAAATCGTAGCAAATCTTGGGATGCTGATACTAACAGTTCTTACAAGGGGTTATAGTACCCCGATTATCATCCCTACTAAGGACTGTTAGAACAAGGGAGAACATCCCAAGTAGTAAACCTGTTAAGCTTCGTAGCCAGGTCAAAGACTGGAGCGACAACACCGCCATCGGCCTCATCCCAAGAGGGGATCTGAACCCTCTCATGGGTCTTTGTCGGGTTTGGGGTTTCTAGGGTTTAGGGTTTAGGGTTTAGGGTTTAGGGTTTAGGGCTTAGGGTTGATGGTAGCCTCAGTGGGTTCAAGTTGTTGGTGTAAAAAGGTGTCGAAATGCCCATGACATTCTCAGCCGCCTGGAACCCAAACCCTGGTACTTGGAGAGGTAGGCTGGTAGGGTTTCGGGTTTCGGGTTTCGGGTTTAGGGTTTAGGGTTTAGGGTTTAGGGTTTAGGGTTTAGGGTTTAGGGTCTGGGGGGGCTCTGGGCTTTGAGCAGGAAGCGAACTTAGAGTGACATCTGGTTGCAGCCCCTTTAATGCGGGCACCGAGAACTCTACCACTCGAAGCACACCGCGCTGATTGGCTAAACCCTAAACCCTAAACCCTGACAACCCGAAACCCCGAACCCTGAACCCTGAACTAACCCTAAAGCCTAAACCCCAAGCCTAAACCCTAAACCTTAAGCGCAAGTCTGGAGCAGGGGGCACGGGCAGCAGAGCACGTGAACATTCAAGGAGGGGTCGGGCTCGGGGTGGGCTTGTGGTTTAGGGTGTAGGGCTTAGGGCTCAGAGTTTAGGGTGTTAGGGTTGTGGGTGGAGGGTTTCAGGGCTAAAGGAAAAGCAGTGTGAAAAGCCTAAACCCCGAACCCTAAACCCTAAATTCAGGACAACGAAGGTTTCCAGGTTATGTTGGGTGTTGAGAGTGTTGAGGGCAAAAGGCGGCTAAGGCTGGCAAGTTGAACCCTAAGCCCTAACCCTTAAGCCTTAAACCCTTTGCCCTAAACCCTAAGCCCTGAACCCTGATCCCTGAATCCTGAACCAAAACACCCTAGCCCTGAAGCCTGAACCCTGAAACCAGTTTACACACATCAGCCCGAACACCTCCAGTAATGGAAAGTAGTCTTGGGCCGGGGCCCTCTGCCCCGCCGAATATTGCGATTACCACCCCGTTTAAAAAGTGACGTCTACATTGCGGGGTTTTGGGTTGCAAGCCCTAAGCCCCCAAACTCCCTAGTGAACGAAGCCAGATGTTGGTGCAGAAGAGAGGTCCTACGGAGCGAACGGGCAAAGCACCGGAGTTGATGAAGGAGGCGCTCTCGCCTGCAGGGTGATTTCGAGATGTAAGAACAGGGCCCCCTCAGGCTTCAGGGGCTTCCCCCAAACCCTCAGTCCTACATCCTTGTTTTTTTTTTTTTTTTTTTTTTGGGGGGGGGGGTTTAGGGTTTAGGGTTTAGGGTTTAGGGCTTAGGGTTTAGGGTTTAGGGTTTAGAGATTGTGCGTCAGTCCTGTAGGTCCGTGGTTTTGGAGAGACCACAGGGTGGAGAACGGGTTTGCGTTGAACACCCGAGGCCCCCAACAGAAGCACCCTAAACCCGAAACCCTAAACCCTAAGCCCTAAGCCCTAAACCCTTAACCCTAAACCCTAAACCCTAAACCCTAAACCCTAAAAACTAAACCCTAAACCCAAAAACCCTATACGCCCTAAACCACGCCAGGAAGGCAAGATCTTCGACATTAACGAGCTCGCCATTTCGCTGCATTTGGGTGTTTCTACGAAATTTGCATAAGAGCCCCCCCCCCCCCCAAAAAAAAACATTTAGAATCCCTATATTGCTTCATAAGGAATATATTCTTCATTTATTCGGGGTTCTTAAGCAAGTAGTAACTGGGGTCCTTGTTATAATCAAGGAACGAATGCTACTACTTGGGGGTTTATAGTCAGGGTCCCCTTATTTTCATAAACCCTACTTGGCGCCCTTCTCTTCCTTGTTGGGGCGTGGTGAGGGCGTGCGGTTGGAGGGGGTTGTGGGCCCGTTTGGTACCCCTGAAGTGACTTGAAATAGACTTGGGCAGACCCGAAGCAGGCTGGAACAAAAACGTGTAAAGCCCCAATCCCGCTGAAAAGAGGCAGATATCACCCCCATCCGAGTCTTGCATACTTAAACCGTAACTACCTGTAGTTGCCCTTTCATGCGCTCTTCAGGGAACTTTCAGAAGTAGGTGGCTTGCTTCCCACTCCAGAGTGCTTCAGTCCCTGGCGAGGAGCCTGTGAGCAAACCCTGAATCCTAAACCCCAAACCTCAAACCCTAAACCCTAAACCCTAAACCCTGAACCCTGAACCCTGAACCCTGAACCCTAAACCCTAAACCCTAAACCCTAAACCCTAAACCCTAAACCCTAACCCTCCAGACCTTGCACAGCCCTGCACCTCGAAGCGCACCCTGAAGCCCTGAGCTCTGAGCGGAAAACCCCCAAACCTCTAAACCCTAAACCCCTAAACCCTAAACCCTAAACCCTAAACCCTAAACCCTAAACCCTAAACCCTAAACCCTAAACCCTAAACCCTAAGACCCTGAACCCTAAACCCTAAAAGCCCTAAGTTCCCTTAGGCCCTCAACCTTCCCTAGAAGGGCACCTTGAGGATGGTACGGCCCAGTGGCGCATGAAGAACTACGGCACGGCTCACTTCAGAGGCCGCCCCTTCTTGGGTTTCTGGCCGAGGGCCTAGGGCTTAGGGTTTGTTTTAAGGGTTTAGGGTTTAGGGTTTAGGGTTTAGGGTTTAGGGTTTAGGGTTTAGGGTTTAGGGGACTATGGGGCGGGGCGTTTTGGGGGGTTCGGGGGCCACCAAGGCCTGCGCCAAATCAGCTGAGCGCAGAATGGGTTTAGTGTTTAGGGTTGAGGGTTTAGGGTTTAGGGTTGAGGGTTTAGGGTTTAGGGCTCAGGGTTTAGGGTTTAGGGTTTAGGGTTTAGGGTTTAGGGTTGAAGGTAGATGGCAAGCTTGGGTTCGAGGTAGGGCGGCTGGATTCTTCACAGCTTGCAGTCCCCTCAAGTGTTCTGGATTCTGTCCAGTGCAGTCTCCACCACTAGAAAGGTACTTGAAGGTTCATGGATTTAGGAGCCTCCGGCTCAGGCCGCCGACCCAAGAGGCCCGAAACCTCTAAGCCGGAAATGGTTGTTACCCTAAAGCCTAAACGCTAAACTCTACACCTAAACCAGGGTTCGGGGGTTTGAGGACGTGTTGTGGGAATGGGGGGGTGGAGGCTTCGAACTGTTGGAGTTGGCGCAAGGTTGCAACATAGGCAACCTCCTGGGTGGGGGGGGGGGCCGCGCGTTTTAAGGTTTTGGGGGTCAGGGAGAGAGGGGGGGGGGGAGGTGGAAGGCAAAAGGTTGTAGTTTTCTTGTGTCCTGCGAAATCTGGCTCGATGTGCCGTGGTCCCTAAGCTAAGCGGCAAGCCCCAAACCGCGAGACACGAGTTGGGTCGGGGGGGTTGGGGGGGGGGGTGTGGGGGGGGGGGGGGGGTGGGGGGGGGGTGCACCGACCCCCCGCCCCCCCTCCCCCCCCGAGGCTCCCCCAAAACCATCCAACACGCCGCCAGGGTCGGCGGATACTACACCCTAAACCCTAAACCCCAAACCCGAAACCCTAAATCCTAAACCCTAAACCCTCAAACCCTATGCCTCGCCCCTGACCTTTCAACCCCAAAGAAAGCACCCAAAATCCGGCGCAGGTGGCGAGAACTACATGAGCAAGGAAGAGAAGAAAGGCCGATTTTGGGTTCAGGAGTGTTTGGGCTTACTGAGCTGCCATTGTGTGGGTTTAGGGTTTAGGGTTTCGGGTTTAGGGTTTAGGGTTTCGGGTTTAGGGTTTAGGGTTTAGGGTTTCGGGTTTAGGGTTTAGGGTTTAGGGTCATTTTCGCGAGCTTAGAGTCTGGATTTTGCAGCCGCGAAAGCCCAACTCCCCTGGCAAGGTCTGGAGGTGTTACTTCGTAGAGGCCATATGGAGCCTAAGCCCTAAACCCTAGCCCTAAACCCTAAACCCTAAACCCTAAACCCTAAACCCTAAACCCTAAACCCTAAACCCTAAACCCTAAACCCTAAACCCTAAACCCTAAACCCTAAATTCCGACCCTGCAGGAGAACAGGTTTTGGCGTTTACGGTTCAGGGCAATCTCTGAGCTTTGTGGGGTTGGGGGGGGGGGGGGGGGGGGGGGGGGGGGGGTGGGGGGGTGGGGGTTCAAAAACCCAAAAACGTACACTTTGGTCCGAGAAGTCGCACGGTGCGGGTTTCTGGTTCCTCCACGGAAAAGTTGTGCACCGGCCCCTGCTGCGTTTTGGGGGGGAAGGAGGGAAAGAGGGAGGTTTCACCTCCCCAAGCCCATCCAACACGCCGCCAAGGTCGGCGGACCCTAAACCCTAAACCCTAAACCCTAAACCCTAAACCCTAAACCCTAAACCCTAAACCCTAAACCCTAAACCCTAAACTCTAAACCCTAATCCCTAAACCCTAGGGTTTAGGTTTTCGGGTGCTGCTTAGCCAGCTCAGCCCGCGGCTGGTGCTTCCCAAAGCTAAGACTGTCAGGATCAGGATCGGGGGACGTACTGTTGCGATACGGAGGACATGCCTACGCTGTTGACAAGGTCCGATGAAAACGAGGTTTAGGGTTTAGGGTTTAGGGTTTAGGGTTTAGGGTTTAGGGTTTAGGGTTTAGGGTAGCTTGGTACCCCAGTGGTACCTTTCCCTTTTTTTTGGTTCAAAGGTTCCCCTATAAAGCAACCAACCCAAAAACGGGTGCCCTTATTGCAATATGGTTACTGGGCTACCAAGCCAGGGGTACCCTAATCGGGGTCCTGGTTATACAGGGGTCCTATTATTTGGGGTTCTATTTTAGGGGCCCTTTATTCTCGTAAAGCCCCATTTAGGCTCTAAACTCTAGGCTCTAAACTCTAAGCCCTAAGCCCTCGTTCGTTCAAAGCTGCCTCAGGCGTGAAGGGCAAGAAAGGCAAAGGAAAAGGCAAGAAGGGCAAGGGCAAGGGCAAAGGCAAAGGAAAAGGCGCGCAGGGTCGTCATTCGGTGTTACCCTAAACCCTAAACCCTAAACCCTAAACCCTAAACCCTAAACCCTAAACCCTAAACCCTAAACCCTAAACCCTAAACCCTAAACCCTAAACCCTAAACCCTAAACCCTAAACCTAAACCCCTAAACCCTAAACCCTAAACCCTAAACCCTAAACCTAAACCCTAAACCCCCTACCCCCTAAACAAACCCTGAACCCTAAACCCTAAACCCTAAACCCCTAAACATAAACCTAAACCCTAAACCCTAAACCTAACCCTAAACCCTAAAACCCTTGTTTTCCTGAGCTCGAACCTCAAACCTTCGTGGTTGGGGGCGTTGGGGTGTTGTGTGGGGGTGTTGGGGGTGTTGGGGGTGTGGGGGGTGGGGTGGGGGTGTTGGGGGTGTGTTGGGGTGTTGGGGGTGTTGGGGGGTTGGGGGTGTTGGGGGTGTTTGGGGGTGTTGGGGGTGTTGGGGGTGTTGGGGGTTTTGGGATGTTGGGCTTACTAGGGTTCTATGAGGGTTTAGGGTTTATGCATGCGGTCTTGCGGACTGCCTCGAACAAGCTCTATGAGGGTTTAGGGTTTAGGGTTTAGGGTTTAGGGTTTAGGGTTTAGGGTGTTTGTTCGACTGGTTTCAGTAGGCAGTGGCTGCAGTGATCCTCCGACCTCTTGGTCGCTCACATGGGCATTTCCCAGTGTAGGGGGTACCCCGTTTAAACCCCAAAGATAGAATAGAAACCCCTTCAAGGGACCACCCCCCCCCCCCCCCCCCAAAAAAAAAAAAAAAAAAAAAAGGGGGGGGGGGGTGCCCCAATTTTCGGAGACCCCCACAGGCAGCCGTCTTAGAGATGAAGAGTTGAAAGGAATTAAACTCTAGGGCCCCAGGATCCGAAGCAAAAAGCTAAGGCTGTTTAGGGTTTTTGGGGTTTTAGGGTTTTGGGTTTTAGGGATTAGGGAGTTATATATCCACGCACACCCACAGGGAAGAAGCGAAAGAAGGGCGATGACGACGACGAGGATGACGAGGTCTGCCAAGATCGCGTCTAAACCCTACCCCCGAAACCCTATCTAAACCCTAATCCCTAAACTCTAAAAAGCCTTAAGCCCGAAACCCTAAGCCCTAAACCTAAAGTCAGCAACACTAGAAAGTACCCTGACCTTGCCATGGTTTCTAGGCTTCGTTCAGGGGCAGTTCTTCGCCGGGACTTCGGAATGTAGGTGCCTTACAGCCTCCGAAAGAACCCGTTTAGGGTTTAGGGTTTAGGGTTTAGGGTTTAGGGTTTAGGGTTTAGGGTTTAGGGTTTAGGGTTTAGGGAACCGAATTTAGCAGACCCTTATCCGAAGAGGCAGAGCCCAAGACCTCTAAAGCTCTGGGGCTTGCGCAGGGCCAAACTCTGAACCCCTGAACCCCCAAACCCTAAACCCCAAACCCCAAACCCCAAACCCCAAACCCCAAACCCTAAACCCTAAACCCTAAACCCTAAACCCTAAACCCTAAACCCTAAACCCTAAACCCTAAGCCTCAAGCCCTGAAGGGGCTTGAAGCGTGCAGGGGCTTGAGTTGAGCCTCTGAGGGGGCTGGATTTGAGGGCCTGGGTTCAGCTTTTTGGGTTTAGGGTTTAGGGTTTAGGGTTCAGGGTTTAGGATTTAGGGTTTAGGGTTTAGGGTTTAGGGTTTAGGATTTAGGGTTTAGGGTTTGGGGTTTTTCGGCTCGAGAGCTTCGGGGTCTGGGCCTTATGAGTTTAGGGCTTGCAGAGATGGGGGTTATGGGGCCTGGCTTTCAGAGACTCGAGCTTACTGTTTAGGGTTTCGGCGCTTTGGGGTGGACCCTAAACCATAAACCCTAAACCCTAAACCCCTAAACCCCTAAACCGGAATGTATTGCTTCAGGTTCAGGCCTGCAAGGGCGGGAATTGAGGCAGTTAGGGTTCGGGGATAACTAGCCCTAAACCCTCAACCCTGTACCCTAAACCCCAAACCCTAAACCCTAAACCCTAAACCCTAAACCCTCGATCCTAAACCCTACACCCTATGCCAGGGCGACTATGAGGAGGGCGATGAGGGGGGAGAGTGGGAAGACGATGGCGACGGCGACATCACGGGAGATGAGAAAGGCTCGCAGCGTCAAGCACAGGAAGCCCGGTATGCACCGTACACCCCAAAGCGTGATTTCTCACAATTATGGTCCTAAAGTGGCCCTTCCTTTTAGGGTACCCAGAAAGGGTTCCTCCCTAATTTCGAGAATTCACCATATGTACCTTGTATGCCGTAAATACCCTGTCCACATACCCTATTTACCCTATGTCCTATATTCCCCATGCACCCTATATACCCTCGACATACCCTGCATGCCCTCTATGCCCTCTATGCCCTGCATACCCTACATACCCTACATAGCTCTACCCGGTTCGGGCTGGTTGTGCTGTTCGGGGCTAGGGGCTTTGGGATGCTGGTTTAGGGTTTAGGTTTTCAGGAGGTGGAGTTTGTGGGGAGGCTTGCGGATTGGGGGTGAAGCCCCTGAATTCTCCAGTTTCATGCGCCCTTCATACGGTCTTTAGAGGGTTCTGATGTGGCGTCTTGGGTTGTATAGAGTATATACAGGGGGGTAGATAAGGGGTCCCCGTTTACGTTTACGGGCCCATACGAAGCCAAGGGGCCAGTGCCCCCTCCCCCGCTACCCCACCTCCACTTGGCAGATGATGGCGAAGCCGGTGGCGGCTGAGTTGCCTGGGGAAAAGTGCCGGCCTGCTCCCTCAACCCTAAACCCTAAACCTTAAACCCTAAACCCTAAACCCTAAACCCTAAGCCCTAAGCCCTAAGCCCTACGCCCTACGCCCTACGCCCTAAGCCCTAAACCCCAAACCCTAAACCCGAATCAATCAATTCGTGGATTTTTCAAAATATAAACCCCAACCCTAAACCCTAAACCCTAAACCCTAATAACCTAAACCCTAAACCCTAAACCCTAAACAAAGTCAGACTTAGGAGCATGTCCTGGTTCCAGAGCACAGATGCTTACGCCATTGTGAACAGTATGAGACCGGGGCCCAGCGGTGAGTCTGGGCTTCGAAGCACTTTTGAGGGTTAGGGTTTAGGGTTTAGGGTTTAGGGTTTAGGGTTTAGGGTTTTGGGTCTTGGATTTAGGGTTTAGGGTTTAGGGTTTAGGGTTAGGGTTTGGGTTTGATCTTGATGTGACATTCATTTCAAGGTTGTGTGCCTGGATAAGTTTCTTTCTCTGAGCTACTTCCCTTCCGAAGGCTGAACTGCGCCACACCCTGCTGTGGTTTTAGGGATTTGGTGGCCGAGGAACCGGCATCAAAAGTTCCAGTTCCCAGCTTTTCTCAGAGGGTGCCACCCTGAACCCTAAACTTAAACCCTAAACCGCCCCTTGAGCCTCCGAGCCACAAAACCCCCTTAAAGCCCAAGACGTAAGCCCTTCACCCTGAAACAAGGTTTGAAGTTTAGGGCCGTATAGGGACAGGGGCTTAAATAGTTCCCAATATTCTACCTCTTGTAGTGCTTCTATGATGGACTTAGCACTACTACCCAAAATACTTCGTGTAATTCAACAAGCCCCTAAGCCCTTAGCCCTAGGCCCCCTACCACATTCACCTCGGAGCTTGAACACGATGCGCCCCTGGTGTTGGCTCAGCGCGTCGGCCGAAAACCCGCTGCCGCACGCGTGCTTCTGAAACTTACGGGCGGATGGATGTGCAGTGGACGTTGGGTTTAGGGTTCATACAGGGGCTTTTGGGGTTTTCAGGGTTTAAGGCAGGAAGTCAGGGCTACTGGTAGAGTTTGCTGCATTCCCTTTTGTGCTTTTAGAAGCTCTTTTGCAGAAGCACAGCTTGCTCATCCAGTTTTGTAGCCTACTACCGCGAAGCTGCGCCGATATGTGGCCGCGACCCGAGCCGTGAAAAAGGGTGGATTAGGTTTTCTGGGGTTTAGGGTTTAGGGTTTAGGGTTTAGGGTTTAGGGTTTAGGGTTTAGGGTTTAGGGTTTAGGGTTTAGGGTTTAGGGTTTCTGGTAGCCGAATTTTAGGTGGCAGTAGCGCCGAAAATCCCAAGACCAAAAACCCTAAGCACTTCGATGAGCTATCAACCTACGGTCGGATCCATGGGCCCTTAGTATGTTGCCCTTGTTTATAGGGTTTGAGCCCTCAGCCCTAGGCCCTAAACCTCAAACCCTAAACCCTAAACCCTAAGCAAAGCTTTCTTGTAGGGCCTCAAGCCTAAGGCCCTGGCTCTAAACCCAAGCCCTCAAGCCTCAGGCCTAACCAACACCTTTTTTTGGACAGGTTTTCGAAACTCTAGAATCCTTGACGATGGAGCGTGTGGCCTTAAACCCTATTCCCCAAACCCCCGACTCTGAACGTTTGGCCACCAAAACCCCCCCAAACTCCGAAAAAGCCCAAACCCCCCAAACCCTAAACCCTAAACCGCAAACCCACAAAACCCTAAACCCCAAAACCTCAACCATAAACCCCAAACCCCCCAAACCCGAAACCCGAAACCCTAAACCCTAAACCCAAAACCCTAAAAACCCAAAGCCCCTAAACCCCAAAACCCCAAACCCCTAAACCCTGAACCCTAAACCCTACACCCCAAAACCCCAAACCCCTAAACCCTGAACCCTAAACCCTACACGCCAAAACCCCAACCCCTAAACCCTGAACCCTAAACCCTAAACCCGAAACCCCAAACCCCAAACCCTAAACCCTAAACCCTAAACCCCCAAACCCTAAAGCTCCAAGCCATCTTAAGGTGGAAGCTGCTGATCTTGCTGGGCGTGGTGAGAGGCGAGTGGGAAGCCGGGAGACTGACAGAGTGTAGGGGTTTAGGGTTTGGGGTATAGGGTTTAGGGTTTAGGGTTAGGAGTAGGGTTTAGGGTTTCGGGTTTAGGATTTAGGGTTAGGATTAGGGTTCGGGGTGTAGGGTTTAGGGTTTAGGGTTCGGGTGCAGGATTTAGTGTCGCCAATGCCCTCTTTTTTACTCCACTTGGGTCTTTATCGCTGCAGATTGCTGCGGTCTTAGGCTTGTTCCCGGACTCAGGGAACCCTGGACCCACTAGGAAGTCACTTATGGTTTAGGGTTTAGGGTTTAGGATTCGGGTTTAGGGTTTAGGGTTTGAGGATTCTGTGGGGTTAGTATGAACAGTTGTTGCATTCTTTTCGGCTATTGTAGCGTTTTTGGGCGTTTGTGTACCCTAAACCCTAAACCCTAAATCCTAAACCCTAAACCCCAAACCCTAAACCCTAAACCTTAAACCCTAAACCCCCACAACCCCCAAAAGAAGCTCGTTCGGACAGGTTGCCAAGACGAGTCCTGCAATGCCGAGGATCGCCGGCTCAAGTTCTTAGCCGATCGAATCTTTAAGCTCTGGGTTTAGGGTTTTGGGTTTAGGGTTTAGGGTTTAGGGGTTTAGGGTTTAGGGTTTAGGGTTTAGGGTTTAGGGTTTAGGGTTTAGGGTTTAGGGTTCCTAAAGGTGGCACCCTCGGGTTTGCGGACCCTTTCTCAAGATCTCTTAAGGGAGTAGAAGGGCCACGTTCGGGTTTTTTCGGGTTTAGGGTTTAGGGTTTAGGGTTTAGGGTTTAGGGTTTAGGGTTTAGGGTTTAGGGTTTAGGGTACCTCTTAGGGGTAGAACCTTAGGGGTCTGAGTATGACTCCTCTGACACTAGGGCCCACACAAGCCTCGGAGTAAACCCTAAACCCTAAACCCTAAACCCTAAACCCTAAACCCTAAACCCTAAACCCTAAACCCTAAACCCTAAACCCTAAACCCTAAACCCTAAACCCTAAACCCTTAAACCCTAAACCCTTAAAACCTAAACCCTAAACCCTAAAGCCTAAAGCCTAAACCCTAAACCCTAAACCCTAAACCCTAAACCCTAAACCCTAAACCCTAAACCCTAAACCCTAAACCCTAAACCCTAAACCCTAAACCCAAAACCCTAAACCCAAACCCCTAAACCCTAAACCCTAAACCCTAAACCCTAAACCCTAAACCCTAAACCCTAAACCCTAAACCCTAAACCCTAAACCCTAAACCCTAAACCCTAACGTCGAGTTGGTACAGCTCGGGAGGTTCTGTGATTATTCGGCCTCTTGTGGTCCTTCTCAGCCGCCTGTAGTACTCGAACCTCCTTTTTGGCACAAGGCGGTGTGCATGTCTCCTTTTCCGGAGTTCGAGGATTCAGAGGATTCGGCGCGGAGCGCCTTCAGGGGGCTAGGGTTTAGGGTTAGGGCTAGGGTTTAGGGTGTAGGGTTTAGGGTTTAGGGTTTCGGGTTTAGGGTTTAAGGTTCAGGGTTTAGGGTTTGGGGCTTAGGGTTTGGCTAGTGTGATCCAGGAGGCATGGGCGCTGGACCAGCTGGCTGACCAGGACCTGATGTGAGTCTGCTTTTGAGGCTTAGGGTTTAGGGTTCAGGGTTCAGGGTTTAGGGTTTACCTTAAACTCTGATACCTAAAACCCAACCCTAAGAACACAGAAGCCTAAGCCCTTCCAACACGCTATCTAAGATCCTCGAAACCCTACAAGACCCCTATACCCTGCCAGGCTCCGAGCTACTGCAAAGCCCCTAAATGCCCAGAGCGCCCGAATTCTCGTGCCATTCGGCTCCTGCACCCCTAAACTCTAAACCCTAAACCCTAAACCCTGAACCCTGAACCCTGAACCCTGAACCATAAACCCTAAACCCTAAACCCTAAACCCTAAACCCTAAACCCTAAACCCTAAACCCTAAACCCTAAACCCTAAACCCTGAACCTACGGCCCTTCGTCCATACTATATCTCCCGGACCTCCAAGCCCAGACAAGACTCAACACATCGAGCAGACGTCCCACCACCCTTAGGGTTTAGGGTTTAGGGTTTAGGGTTTAGGGTTTAGGGTTTAGGGTTTAGGGCCCTGTTCCGACACGAAATCTCCATTTTGTCCGTCGGCGTTTTTGTTTTTTTTTGGGAGGGGTGGGGGGGGGTGGGGGGGGGTGGGGGGGGGTTGCAGTATGCCGTTCTGGACACCCTTGTGGCCGCAAAAAGAGCTCCTTCCAGGCATCATCAACAAATGTTGCTCTTACTGTGAAATGGTTCCTGGGATAAAGCGCGTTTCTGCGTTGGGTTCTATGTATGTGTGTTGTTCTGGCGCGTGCTGGTGGGTGCATGTGTGTGTGTGTGTGTGCAAAAAGGGGTTCAAGCGGAATACTTTTCATGGGTTTAAGGTCCCACCTCTAACCCTGAAGCCTTAAACCCATAACCCTGAACCCTGAGCTCTAAACCCTAAACCCTAAACCCTAAACCCTAAACCCTAAACCCTAAACCCTAAACCCTAAACCCTAAGCCCTAAACCCTAAACCCTAAACCCTAAACCCCAAACCCCCCTAAACCCTAAACCCCAAAGCTTCCAGGAGGAGGATGCCGAACTTAGCGACCTCGAGGTCACGCTTCTGCAGTGCCTGGGCGTGGCAAGTGCAGTGCAGAACCTGCCTTTGCGTGTTCGGGGTCTTGGGTTTGCAGTAGCCCTAAACCCTAAACCCTAAACCCTAAACCCTAAACCCTAAACCCTAAACCCTAAACCCTAAACCCTAAACCCTAAACCCTAAACCCTAACTCCAAATCACGGTCGAACCAAAGCCTAGCTTAGGATCATTTGGGCCTGATTTTGTGTAGGGGTAGTTTCCAAGAATAACGCAATGTGCCCCGAAGCCAGACTTGAGAGTCGTTTATGCAG